AGAGCATGTTCAAAATTCATCTCGTGTCATGGAGACACCATTAGTACAGAAGAGTGGATAATGAGAACTATGTTGGACAACCAACAATGATATTGGATAAACAAGTGAGAAAATTGAGAAGCATGGGGGTTTCCAATGGTTAAGACTTTGGTTATGAATTTGAGTCGAAGTGGAGGCTCAGGAAATTATGGTTCTAAGAATAGGGCACTACTTCGTATGCTTTTGAGTATCGTTGCGAATTTCGGGGACGAAATTCCCGTTAAGGGGGGTGAACTTGTGACACCGCACCCGGATGTACTTGAGTTTGAAATTCAATATGTATTTGAATTTTCTATGTGAATATTGATGTGTGCAAGAACGGCATATTTAATTAATGAAGGATTAATTAAGTTATTTATCAGGATCATGATACTGAGAGCGGACTACCAAATAATTAGTTGGGTCATCATAATAATTATAGGAGCCCAATAAAATGTCAACTAAGGTTGAGAAAAATGTTTGGGCAACCCAAATATTAATTTGACTCAACCTGCCAAAAATAGCTGGAATAATTGGGAGAACTTCCTACACCCATTTGGGAATTTCCTACACACTTTGTAGAGTCTAAATAAGTCAAATTTAGACAACTTAAGAGAATTGGTGCGGATGAATGATGGAGGAAGCCTCCTAGGGACAAAACATACTCAACATGGCCCCATACTCAAATTATTTTGAGTATTGATTGAGAGGAGATGCCTCACCCTTTCCCATTCATTTCATTCGGCCATATCAAGGGAAGAAGCTCCAGGAAAGTCTTCTCTCACTTAGTCCATGGTTGAAGGAAGCAAGAAGAGAGGAAAGTCCAAGAAGAAAAGCTAGGAGAAGAGGTAAGAACACACCAATATTCTGTTAACTAGTATTATTTTTGTATGATTTTTAATGAATCATATGGTGGATTAATCAAGAGGTTCTACACATTTAAAAGTGTATTATATTGATATAAAGTGGTGGTAATTAACTTAGAAGAGTCGTGGAATCGATAGGAGTTGAAATCGCCGGAAACCGCCATTGTTGGGGACTGTTTTTCGAGCTGCAGGCCCGAAAGCCGCCCACCTTTTGCAAAAGCCGCCCGGCTTTTGTCTGCTGTCCAGAATTTTCATTTTCAATTGGCCTAGAACGGGGATTGATCGAAGGGCTTAGCAAAGGCAACTAGTTGAGCACATCATAAGGTGAGGATGGCTGACTATATTGTTTATAACTAGTGGGTTAATTCATGAGATTACCTAATGTTATAAAAGCATGATTTTAATTAACTAATATGCCAAGTAAAGTGTCAATTGATCATATTGTTGTATATGAAGAGTTGATGCATGATTGATTGGGGTATGAGTAATTGGAGCATGATTACTTGATATGTTTGAGGAGTTGTTCTAGTTGATTTAGTGATGAACTAATAAAATGTTTTTATTAATCACTATTTAATTATATTGATTTTATGGTTAGTAAAGTCAATATAGAATGGAGTGAGAATGAGTTATGGCATGGCCGCCACGTTTGTTTAAAAGGGAAAGAGAATTTGAACTAAGAATAACTCGGGTGATACTAAATGACTAGTCCGAGGTTATAATATGAACATTTATAAATTAATCCTAAGTTTAGGATTGTGATGCTTCGTCACTAGGGTATTCAATTGGGATAGCCTTAGATGATTTAAATGATATAATTATCCTAGGATTGGATTGTTGATATTATTATCCGGGTGGTCTTTAGGATACCCGTAATTGATTGTTTGATTGGTAGCAAGGGTCATGGCTCGGCTCTAGTCTAAGGATAGATGCCCGACCCCATGAACTTGCTAATATAGATAGATGAGGGTCATGGGTCGGACGAGTCTGAGGATCGTGCCGGACTGCATGGGCCCACAATAGGATAGATGTAAGGACCATGGCCCTACTTGGCTCTAGAGAGCGAGATGGATAGCATGGACTTACAGCGTGATCACGTATAAGGGTGGAATCCAAATCAAAGACCTTGCGAGGCTTTGACAGCGGTAACACATAAGATAGGACCCCGAATGGGCCGTACCTTCCTACGGGAACAGGGTATGAGTCCAGGGGCAGGATGCTGGACTCCGACCGAGTGCTCCATGGAGACTTGGATAGCGGTGACAGGTCCTGTATGAATTATTGCAGGGCAATACGAATTATCGCAGGGCGATACAAATTGTATTTTTAAATTATCGCAGGGCGATACAAATTGTATTTTTTTGAATTATCGCAGGGCGATACAAATTGTATTTTTAGATTATCGCAGGGCGATACAGATTATATTTTGAATTATCACAGAGCGATTTGAATTGTATTATTAAATACAAACGGGGAAATAAAATATCGCATGGCGATGAAAAAGGGTTTTTGACCAAATACAAATGGGCCTATGAGCCGACTATTTGACGATATATACTTATGTATGATTTGAAAGGGGTAACTATGGGTTATTTCCTAGTATTATGATAACACCTATGTTGAGGGTCTTAAGGATTGAAACATTAATTATATGCAGTATAGTTGTCATTGTACTTTTCAAATGCTTCAAAGTACTGACCTCCCCTTCACGGGGGAGGCCACCTCACAGTTTTCAGGTAGAAGCTAGAGCTTGCTTCCTGTACCCGTTGCTTCGGGAGTTCTTGGAGAGAAGACGTGGTTCGTGCTTCCTCCGTTCTGTTTTCAAAACAATTACAATGATGCTCATGGATAATATTTTCTAATAAATTATTTGAGGGCTTGTATGCCTAAGTTTGCCAAGTGTGGCTTGAACACTTGTAATATTGTTTCCGCTGCTTTAATGAATATTTTACATTATGTTTGTTTATGGATGCACTATGTGTGAATGATATTCCAGACGCCTTGTATAGTATGGATGTGTTAGATTGCGGTTGACTATTCATACTGTACGGCGGATTGTTGACGTGTCCGGGTAGGTCCGGGGCGTGACATGAAAGTAGTGGCAGGTTTACTTTGTCTTCTGCTTTTCAGCAGGTAAGAAGATCTAAGAACTTTATTTTCTCCTTCTCTCATGCCTGGAATAAATATCAAACAAACAAAATTCAGATCTTTCAGTGGAGAGTAATTCATAAGATACTTCCATTTCCTGATAATTTGGGGAGGTTTCATATAGCAATGCTCCCAACTAGATGCCCTCTTTGTAAACATGATTCTGACACAATGGATCATGTATTAGTAAACTGCTCCAATAGCTGGAACATTTGGAAGTACTTTTTGGGGATATTTGATATTCCGATTCCTAATAGACCTACATCAATGAGACAAATGCTAATTGCTTGGTGGTTAGAAGCGGGGAATCACGGTGTTTTGAATGTGTTCAAACATAATATGGCAGGCATTATATCTTGGCACATTTGGAAAACATACTGTCAGATTACTTGGGGAGGAGAGACAGTGACTCCAATTTGGCAGAATATCATTTCTCGAATCAAATTATTTACGCAGGATTGGTCTTTCTCTAAACTATCTAAAGTCAAATTTGGAAACCCCAGTCCAATTCTATTTGAGGAAAGGTTGCTGAATTATTCATTTCGCACTAACAGGCCAAAGATTCGAGCTATTAGATGGAAATTACTTGACAAGGATTTCAAGCTGAATGTTGATGCTTCTTTCTCTGTGGATAAGGCTTCGGGTGGTGCGGTGATAAGATCGAAATCAGGGGAGCTGAAGGCGGCAATCCATTTTCCAATCTCGGCATGCACGGTGAAGGAGGCGGAGTTGAAGGTGGTCCATACATCGGTCTTCTGGGCGATTGAACATGGATATCACAGGTTGGAGGTGGAGACAGATTCGATGCAGGCATTGGAGGAAATTTTGGAAGGGATGGAGGAAGGTAGATGGCGAACGGTTTTAGCAGATCTGCGGAGATGGAAAGGCGAGTGGTGTATTGAGTTCAGACATATACCCCGAGATATTAATTGGACTGCTCATTTGCTGTCTAAAATTATTTCTGATGAGTTGGTTTCCTATTCTACACACTCCCAGCTTCCTACTCACATTAGACGTACTCTTCTAGCAGATAGGTTGGGTTTGAGTTACTTTAGAATTTCTTAATTTATTGTATGATTATTGGGTAAGGTTTGGTCCCCCTAATAATTTCTGTTTTTTGCAGGTTATTGTTTTTCGATGGGGAATGCCCCTTTGGAGGAGGTTTTGGTATAGTCCCCCTCTTCGCATTGTACTGGTTTTCAACTATCAATAAAATACCGGCAAACGTTCCCCGGCGTTTGCCCCACTGATTTTGGTGGTTGGCCTTCCGGGTTAAAATATATATATATATATTGCAAAAGCTTAACTTTATATACGCAAATTTCAACATACAAAGTAATGTAAGTCTTTCATCAAAGTCTTAATATACGTAGTATAAACTAAACGAATAAAAATTATATTAAAAAATAAAAACTAAAACCAGAGAATTACTTGTGAAATTGAAATTTCAAATTTGGAAGATATTTTTGAGAAAATTAGGAGAGTGTTGATTGCTGAGAAAAACGAATTAAATACCAAAGATGAAACCTTGAAATTAGGCCTGTCTAACGGGAAATGATGTTAGACCGGGGCCATTTGAGGCCCTCCCCGATAGAATTTTTTCATGAAATTTTTAAAATATATTCTTCATGAAATCTTTAATATCTCCACAAAGTTTCAGATTAAAACTCAACCTGAAAGTCAGTTAAATAAATTATTGAAAGATAATGCGCATTATTTATATACACAAAGCGCAGTGTGTTTCAATATTTTATTTAATTGACTTCCCGGTTGATTTTTAAACTAAAACTTTGTGAATGTAATTTACTCTAAAAAAGTTTCAAAAAAAAAACCTCCATAAAGGGCCCCAAATGTCCTCGGTCTGATATGAATTGTCTTCTCTATATTTATCCATTTATATATAATTATGGGCCCCTGTAAATGTTGGGCCCGAGGCACAAGCCTAGCCTGCCCTTGTCCAGGACCGGCCCTGAACAAAACAACATGACGTTCGAAGTAAAAACACAAACAAACTAAAACAAAAATAGAGATAGCCTTCCAAACCCTAGTCGCACAATGCCTCCATGGCGGCGGTTCAGGAGGGGGACACATCAACATCTCTTCATCTTCTTTCGCTCATACGGGATCAGCCGCATAACGCTCGTCATCCTCACCATGGTTCCCTCCGATCGACTGTGAGGAGACGCCCCACTACTGCTCCTTCCTCTGCGATACCAGCCCCGACGAAATCACCTGCACCGCCTTCTCTCTGTTTCCGCTTCGTACTCCTTCGCTCGCCATCGATCGTCCGAACCGCACAAAATCGGCAGAGAGAAGGCCTGCAAATCGATCTCCCAAGTGAGACTACTTCCCTACGACGACCTTTGCTGAAGGCCTGGGACTCCCCTTCTTGATCGATGTGTCACGAACCACCGGCTCAGGCCAAAGCCGTAGATGGCCGCGGTTTAGAGGGCGGAAGAGCAACAATCTGCTTTTTTCGGCCAGTGGAAAAACTTTAAACAGAATAAAGAGATTGTGCAATTTTGTTTCAATTTGTTTGTCCTATTTCTTCGAATAAGTCTGTCTTTCAATGAGTTATGAATTTTGAGTGGAAAGCTGTTATAACAATATTTTTAGAATAATTAAATAAATTTATTTATTTATCTACAAAGTTTCAAATTTAGCGACAAATGGCAAGTTTAAGTATGATCACCAACATAGTTACAAATATTCATTTTAAGATAGTTTAAATATATTTTTAGTCCCTGCAAATAAAGTACATTTTGGGGGTGTTTGGCAATTGGCGGTTGGCTATTGGCTGTTGGGTGATTGCGTTAGCTGATTCATGGCAGCTGATTCTGTTGGCTGTTTTGATTAGCTGATAGGATTAACAGTTTGTAAAATGGTGTTTGTTTAAATGACTGTTTATAATCAGCTGGTAACTTGTTAAATGACTTTTAAGGACATCAATTAATTTTTTATTACTATAATTAGTACAACTACTTAAACCATTTTAATGATCTAAAAAAACAAAAATGTAATAATTATAATTTTAAACATTATTTTGCACTAGTTAATAAATTTGATTAGTACGATGATACTTTGATTAATAATGGAGTTATAAGTAATAATATACCAACAAAAATTGTGTAAGAATATAAAAAATATACCAACAAAAGTTGTGTAAAAATATGATTTTAATATATTATCCTAAACTATTTGTATTGATTAAAGTAACTAAAAGTAATAAAAAATTAAGGACGAATAATATTGATTGTAATGTATTTTATTCATATATTGTTAAATTGAATATTGCTAAATTTTGTTAATGCTGTTGCTTATATACGTTAAATGTTTTCTAACAAAAGGGGAGGGGGCGGGGGTCTTTATACTTGTAGAGATGGAATCGAATATTCCTTTCATAAAAACTTAGAATTGAAGTTGCCCTACGCCTAAATTGAAGATGGGAGCTACGGAGTGTGATTTAAATGCATGAGAAAACTATCATTTGAATTTTAAAGGATAAGGCTAAATATGTATTTTTGGAGAATAAAATGAAACGGCGAAGAGCAAAACGCTACTAAACTTGGCTTTTTTATTTTTGGCTGATTGACATAAAAAGTCAATACAAAAAGCTTAATAACCAAACACCTAAATAGTTGTTTGAAATGGTCAAAAAGCCAACTATTGGTCTAAACAGCCAAAAAATGGCTGATAGACCAATAACCAAACACCCCCTTTCTTTTACATCCTTCTAAAATTATATTTTTGTTTTTCATCCCTGCAATTTATATTGATTTTCTTTTTAGTTTATCATCAATGACAACAACCTCCGTTGACAACGAAACAACCCTCAACTAATAAGTTTTCTCTAATTCTTTGTCATGTTATTCAAAAAGAATTTAATTTTATTTTTTAGAAGGGATCCAATACATATTTAAAAAATGTGAATAACTAGTTTTAGATTGTTAAATCTCATATTAGGCTCAAAAGATTTATAAGAGAATAAATTATATTTAAATGTTTATCGTAGATTTATGCGACTGACAATAACTTTTTTCTATGTAAGTAGTTTAGGAATTAGAGATGGGCTAAAAACAAAATAATGCATATTACAGGGATGAAAAAATTGTATCTTTCAGGATCCTAAAACGAAGTGTTTTGGAACCGCTGGGGATACTCATTAAGAACTAAAAACGTATTTAAACATTTTAGGAATACAAATTGTTAGTATTCTTTAAATATGAGTATATGATCTAATTATCGATATTATTTTAGGTTCGGTTTGATCTAAATTTATCCAATTTTGTTTTATTTGACATAAAGTTACTTTTATAAATAAATATATACGTAGTATGTTATATTAATATTTTATATAATAATAATGTAATATAAGAATCATCATAGTAATTTTTGGGGGATCATATCGATCTTACATTATGTGGCCGTTTGATATATCAAAAATTAGCTTATAAGCCTTAAAATACAAAAAAACACCAAACACCCTTTAAATGGGCTGATTTGGCTGATTTTTATTATCAGCCCAAAAAGTAACCCAACACCTACTTCTTTGGCTGATTTCTATTATTATACGATTAACTTATTAAAAGACATATCTATCCTTCTCTAACTCGTTTTTACATAGCCGTAGTACTACGCATGTAAAGTACTAGTCGTCGTTTTTTATTTGAAAATTGGATACTAAGTGCCGAGTTCATATATGGTGAGCCACCGTATAGTCGGCCCAGTAACTGGCTTAAGAGAAAAATAGAAAAATAATTCGGTGGCATTTTTGCAATTAATGTAAAAATCGCGTTTTCTGCTAAATGAGCATTAGTGGTTAATGAGCAATGATCCAATTTTAATGAGTATTATGCGTCCAACAATGACTCAATGAGCATCATGTTAGTACAAGAAAACCGATATCACAACTAAAAACGGTGACATTTTTGTAAGATCAGTGAAAATCGTGATTTTCGATAGATGAGCATTAACACATGTTTACTGAGCATAAGACGTATTCTATTGAGCATTAAGAGTCGAATAATGAGTAATGTGATATCAATTTCATTGTAATTCACTTTCTTTTTCTTAATTTTTCTTTTATTAAAACTCATTAAATTATATCTATAATCAATTCCTATGATTTTCAATATGTGAATCTAATGTAATATGATACTTTTGAAATATGCATTGTTATGACATTTTAAAAATGAGCATAACATGAGTACCAATTGAGCATATGTAACTTACAAAATGAGCATAAATATGAAATTCATAAGGTTTGTTAGTTGGACGTCAGAACATTTTCATTGAGCATCCAACCTCCTATATTGAGATGAAAATAGCGCTTTCAGTTAAATGAGAATTAATGAACTTTTAATTAGCACTAGACCTATTATATTGAGTATTAGGAGTCTAATATTGAACATCGTAATCTCTGATTCATATCTTTTAATTCACTTTCTTTTTATATTTTTTCTTTTATAGAAACTCATTAAATTATATCTACAATCAATTCCTATGAAGTTCTGAATCTAATGTAATATGATACTTTTGAAATATAAATATATGACATTTTAAAAATGAGCATAACATCAGTATCGATTGAGTAATTAGAAAAATTCAATTGAGTATCATGATATGTGATCCCGTATCTATAATCAATTTCCACGTGAATCTAATGTAATATGGTACTTTTGAAAATGTGTATTGATTTAACATTTTAAAATGAGCATACAACCAATACCCGATGATCATACAAAACTTACAAAATGAGCATCGAAAAACGGAAAAAGTCAAAAGCTCGTTTAAATTCTCCAATGTGTTCAAATATTCAATTGTGTATGCTCATTTTTTTAGTCGTTATACTCATTCGCATATAACATAAACTCCTTTCTATAATATGTACATCTAGTAGATTCGTTATTTAACAATTGTGTATGCACATTTATTTTAAGTTATACTCATTTTAGTTTAACACTAAACTCGTGTTAGTAGTTTACACACAATATTTAACAAACTAATAAATATTCATTTTAAAATAAAAAAAATTAACACCTAGAGTATTTTATAATGCAAAAATTAAACAAATTTAAATTGGAAGGTTGATTGGAAAAACAAAAAAACAAACTCAAACAATAAATAATATTTTATATAATCATAATAAATTGAATAAAAAATAAAGTAAAAGATATTAAAGAAAAAATAAAGAAACGAAAAGCAACAAGAAAAATAAAAAGAAAGAAGCAAAACAGAAAGTCAAAGCAATGAAGAAAGAAAACGAAGAAAAAAGAGAAAGTGTTAAACTATGAACATGTGCCCTGAAATGAAAAACATAGGTTGGAACGTAAATAATACAAAGGGGAGCGTGTTACGTAAATAATACTACCTTCATCCTCTTTTAAATGACCCGTTTTACCATATTGGGATGTCCCTATTTAATTGTCTCATACCTTATTTGGTAAAGTTTGTGTGGCTCAAAATCATTCTTACTTTATTATTACTTTATTAATTAATATCAACCACACAAACCCACTTTTAATTTCTTAAAACTCGTGTCACCCTCTTCCGGGACATTTAAAAGGGAACGGAGGGAGTACGCTGGAACTTCAAACATATTACAAAAATACACGGCTATACCATGCTCAAGGTACAGCCGGTTGTATGATATAATTTACCCTAAATGCCCACTAATAATGTTAAAACCAAACAACTAATAATTACCTAGCCCTTTTACATTTTTGTAATTAACAAAACACGTTTTTTTTCAAAGAGGAAAAATACACGTTATTAGTTATGAATCACTACATGCATACTTCAGCATCCATTATTTATTTATTTACGCTTGATAATAGTATAATTAATAAAAGTGTAGTTTTTAATACGGAGTATTAATTTACTCCTTTTAGTAGATAATATTTTACTAGAAAAGTTAACATACATATATTTAAAAATACAAATAAGCAATTACCCTTTTTGGTAAATGTATATTCAATCAGTCATTTCAGCCAAAATATAACCAAACACTCCCACTTCAGCAATTTAAGCAATTTCTGATATTTTTTTACACAATTTTTAGCACATAAAATATAGATAAATTTTAAATTTAGAGTGACCCCGATTCAAATAAGGCCCCTAGCTACGCCCCTATTGAAGGTGTAACTAGTGACTTCACCATTTGATAAATAAGAACAAGAATGTCGAGAGTAAGTTAAGAACGTCGAGAGCAAGTTATATGCAACGCAATTAGTGTCTTGTAAGCATGTATTTAGTTGCAATGAAACTATACAAAATAATAAATTTTGGTAAATAATGGCTTGCCCTATTCGGTGTTATAATCTTATACTTATAATAAAATAGAGATATAAAAATTGGGAAATTTACCGGGATATGATTAAAACTCAATGAGTTTCTCAATCTATGATGTAAGTAGTTTTTATACCTTTGTATGACCAAAAATCCAAAAACAAATAGAAAATTCGTTTATATTTAAATGTTGAATGACAAAAATA